AGCCCTCGTTCCTGAGAGATTTGTGAGTCCTACAGCAGGCCTAGGAAACACTCTTCCCTTGGATGAGCCACCAGTACCAGAATTTCCATGAATTCCTGGTCACCATGCCCTGTTCTTCAGCGCATGAAGGACCAGGGCTGAACTAAAGGCCGGAATACCTGGGATTGTGCCTTGTCTTAAAAAAAAAAAACTTCTTTATTTTTCTTCTTTAAAATGGGACTGAATGATTTTTAGCCATTATCAGTGAATGACATGCCTTATGGCTCCATTTCTAGATACCTGGATGACCTCAATGAAGGTGTTTATATTCAGCAAACCTTAGAGACTGTGCTTCTCAATGAAGATGGTAAACAACTCTTGGTAAGTAATTGTGACCATTCGCAGCGATCGGCAGGACCAGGCAGGATCTCAGTCGTTTGTACGTAAAGGTCACTATGAGTCGGAACTGCCTCAACAACACTTAACACCCACAATAGTGACCATTCAAAATAGGAATGCAAGGGTATCAGACTTGGCATTTCTCTTCTTGCTTGCAGTCCCAAGTACATCTAGAGATCTAGTCTGTAAAGAGAAGCAAAATAAACTGCTCATTATCTTCTGGCTGGCAGGCCCATATCTGAGTTCAGGACAGAACAGGCTTTGAACAAACTTACAGGTGAATAAAAGATCAAGTAGCAGTGGTGCGTTTTCTCATGATAAGAACCCTCTCTTCTTTATCTCCTGCATCCTCAGCATCTAGCCAAGTACCTAGCAGAGTGACCACTTAAGAAAAGGCACTGATGAAGTAAATGGCTTTCTGACGAAGAGGTCTCCCTAATAGACAGGTTGCATTTAGGAATCTCGAGCAAAACACCGAAACTAGACCCACTGACAGCTAATCACTCTGAGTTAAAGCTTATTTCCATGAGCTTTTCAAATCCCATTCTGGGCAAAAGGTGAGAGTCCCTTGGGGAAACCCACATTTTCCATGCACAACATCAAGCTTTCAGGAGGAATATTGGCAATTTTTTTGCTTTCTAATGTTAACGATAATCCATGTCTTATGATGTAAATGCCAGTTACTGCCTTATTCTCTTCCTAGTGTGAAGCACTTTACTTATATGGCGTGATGCTGCTGGTCATCGACCAAAAGATGGAAGGAGAAGTCAGAGAGAGAATGCTAGTTTCCTACTACCGATACAGGTACCTTGGTCTAGGACCACACACTCCCCAACCACTGGTCTCCATCAAAGACAGCATCTGCCCATGATTCTTTTATTGGGACCAGCAGCAAGATGATCTGGGACCAAATGTATGGTCATCTCCTTTCCTCTGAACATGTAGGGATTTGGCCATTACTATACAATCTTTATTCTAGCAGGAGCACTGTCAGGTAGATGATGGCTGTTCACCGCAAGGTCAATGGTACAAACCCACCAACTGCCCTGAAAGAGAAAAAGGACGTCATGCTTGGTCAAGTAGAGGGGCGGGGAAAGAGGAGGTCCGTCAGCAAGATGGACTGGCACAGTGACTGTATCCAGGGGCTCAAACTTACAGTTGGGAGGGTGGCACAGGACTGGGCAGTGTTTTGTTCAGTCGTACAAAGGGTCACTGTGTGTCAGCACCTAGCAACAGAATCTGCTCGTGTGGAAATGTGCAGCCTTGGAACCCTGTATAGGTTCCCTGTAGGTCAGAATAGACTCGATGACAGGGACTCTATCGTAATCGCCCATAAGTAATTATGTACCAAAGAGGAAAACAAAGTGCTGTTTGGTTGACCAACTCATAGCAACCTTATAGGACAGACTAGAACATCTCCCTTGGGTTGCCAAGGCTGTAAATCGTTCTGGGAGTACATTTGGGACTGAAGAGGAAAACAAAGTGCCGTTTGGTTGACCAACTCATAGCAACCTCATAGGACAGACTAGAACATCTCCCTTGGGTTGCCAAGGCTGTAAATTGTTCTGGGAGTACATTTGGGAGCCTCATCTTTCTCCCTGGGAATGGCTGGTGGTTTCAAACTGCTGTCCTTGTGGAGCGACCAGCATAGAACCCACGACCCACCAGGGTTCCTTCAGTCTTCTGTAGAGTATAGGATGTTGCTGTATGATGTAAGTTGCTGTATTCACAATAGTCTCTCAATTTAAATAAACAAAAAGGAAATCTGAATGTTCTTTATCTTGAAGATACTGTTTTACATCCCAGGAGGCCTACCTGCAGCTCTCGGCTGCTAACCAATAGGTTGGCCATTCACACCCAGCCAACGCGTGGGAGCAAAACCGGGCCACCTGCTGCATAAAATTTGAGCCAAGGAAACAAGATGGGGCGGCTCTGTGTTGTCACAGAGGGTCACTGTGATTCAGACTGCTTGAGGGCACACCACAGCATCACGAAGGTTATGTTCGTTTGAAGTTTTCTCACATGACGGCTTGGCAGGATAGAGGGCATTTAATGAACAGAAGACCTGTTGTCACTTCAGATTGATGACTTTGAAACGTTATCACTCAGGGTCAGACAGAAGTGAAGTCTCACATAGTTAGAAACAAAAACAAACCCACAAAAGCACACACCCACCATGGTGTGTACGATGTGTCTGCAGAGGCTTCGGGACCTTCAGGAAGGAGGGCTTGGAAAGCAGGAGCCCTCTCCCCCAACTCTTCCACCCAGGACCCAGCATAAGCGGGTCAATCAAATGGGTGCCAACTCACAGTGACCCTGTGTAGTTTTCTGAATTGTAAATCTTTATAGGAGTGGGCAGCCTCACCTTTCGCCCATGGGGTGGCTGATGAATTTGAACCATCAACCTGGTACTTAGCAGCCCAACACTCCTGAGGACCCAGCACACAGGTTTTTCATTTGTTGTGCAAATGAGTCAGAATCTGGATACAAGGTCAAGGTCAGAAATAGCTATGATTCCGAGAAGCATCAGTCAATAAGCAGGAGTTCATTAGGAACTTAGGCTCACGCTATCCTGAACAGAATGACCATTTTCAAGCTTTCAGATGAAGAGAAGAGAGAGGACAAGTGAGGGAGGTCAACAGAGAGGGCCTGGTCTGGCGTCACTGTCCATTCAGCCCCCTGGGTCTTGCTGCCTCGCCTGCACGGGTACTTGGGGAGTGCCCAAAGCGTACATAATGCACTGTGTCAATGGCCTTAGTTTTCAAAGGAAATTTAAGCCGCCCTGCCCATATTTCTCAAAGAACCTGGAAAGAAAAACAAATAATGTGAAGAAGGGAAAGTCCTCTTGTTTGGGTGGGTGTCTTTGGCTTTAAGCTTAGAAAAGCTGCCGTGTCCCTTTTGGAACACGGCTAATGCCCAGGAACGTGGGCATCTATTATTAAAGCGACCTGAGCAATTGCAAGTCAGCATTACAGTAAAGCAGGCCCTTGCGCCCAGCAGGAGGTCCTCTGCCGAGTCTCCTGACCTCTGAGGCTAGTGCATTCCTTCCAGGGCTTGCTATTTTAACCCATCGAAGAAAGCATGGATGTTCGCATTAGACTCTACCGAAACAGCAGCTGGCCAATGAAAACCAGTCAATCCATATCCCAAGGAGCCCTAGTGGCACAGGGTTAAAGCGCCTCACTGCAAACCTAAAGGCCTGTGGTTCGAAACCACCTTCATGGAAGAAAGACACAAGCAGTCAACTTTTATACAGACGTTCAGCCTAGGGAAGCCCCCGGTGGTTCAGCTCTGCCCTGTAAGGTCACTGAATCAGAAGGGATGGTAACATTTTTTTTTTTTTTTCAGAATTATTTTTCAATTTGTGAAATGTCAGTGAGGCAGGTTCACATTTTTTTAACTACTCTTCTGAAAGATGTGTGCTTTCACACATACAGAATATCTCCTTTGACATCAAAACGTGATCCAAGCTCTAATCATTTGGAGTCAAAAACCAACCAGAACCAATGCAAAGCTGGATATGGTTTTTAATTGTCCCACATGGGTGAATAGCCATAAATTTCATTGTGGAAATCTTAGCATGTGTCCATTATGGGATGCCAGCTCACACTGCTGGAGCATGGCAGAGTGGATTACACATAGGAACTGCTAAACCACAAGGTCAGCAGTTTGAGCTCACTAGCTGCTCTGAGGGAGAAAGATGAGGCTCTCTGCTCCCAGAAAGATTTGCAGCCTCTGAACCCACAGGGGCAGCTGTACTCTGCCCTAGAGGGTCAGAATCAACTGGCTGACAGTGAGGTTGGTTGGGGTTTGTGGATGTACCACAGCATTTTCTGATGTATTCCAAAGCAAATCCAGACCCAAGGATTTGGGTAAAGACTTACTTGATTTTTACATAGAACTAATACCCATCTTATATGTTTGCTGCATTAATAGGCTATGAGGGCATATACTTTTTTAGCATAGAGTATGCATTGACCCCATGATCATATCTAAATCTCTTAACGTCAAATGGAAATGGAAATCTCGTGCTCGGCTGTATTGGGGGTTTCTGATTTGTGCCATGTGTTTTGTCTTTTACTTGGTGCCTGCGCCTTAGTGCTGCCCGGTCTGCCGATTCAAATATCGATGACATCTGTAAGCTGCTTCGAAGTACAGGTTATTCCAGCCAGCCAGGAGCCAAAAGACCCCCCAACTACCCCGAGAGCTATTTCCAGAGAGTGCCTATCAACGGTTCCTTCATTAGTATGGTCATCGGCCGCCTCAGATCTGACGATATTTACAACCAGGTGGGGAGTAAACCTGTCACCATCTGACTAGTTTAAGAGTGGTTTCACTTCCCTTCTCACGTCCCCACAGGAGAGGAACAAAGAAAACCCTCTGAGCTCTGTTGGGGGCTGGTTGGGGCAGGGGGGAGCCAGGAGATAGAGGAATGAAAGAGGTTCACTTTGACAGGTAAGAAATCTTAGGGAGCAAATGGGATTTGAAGTTTGCTGGGAAAGAAGATGCACTCCTTTATTTGTTCAAGAAACCGTTCTTGTGTATGTTAGGTGCTGGGGACGCCCTCACGGAAGAAGGCAGGCCCTGGTCCCTGCCGATGAGGAGCTTGTAGCTTAGGCAAGAAAGCAGGCAGCGGCTAACAAGTGACAGGAAATCGGTTCCTCTTAGAGAGGGAAGCACAGGTGCCTCAGAGCGTTCAAAGGAGGAGTAAGATCGCAACTGGTGATGGGGACGCAGGGCAGTGCAGCCTAGGCGATGCATGAGCAGGGATACGAAGCCCCGTAGCTCTCACAAGTGGCTGCCTCTTCAGTATCTAGTGTTCCGTTCACTTACTTTCATGTAGTGAGTGTCCTGTGCAAAGACATCAAAGGAAGTGACCCTTGGACTTCATTGTCTGTGTTGAGGAAGACAAGCATGGGCTCCCCTGGGCTGGAGGGAAGAGAATATCCTGGGGCTGGGGATAAGACAGAAGGCCTTGGGTGGGAATGCCACAACCTGAGGGCTGCTGAGAGCCCGATACTCCTCCCCGATGCTAGATAACCATTGCAGATCCTGTCGACGTTGACACGTCGCCAGCTGCTAACTGGGGTGCCTGGACCCTTTGAACTGCAGGTCTCTGCGTACCCACTGCCCGAGCACCGCAGCACAGCCCTGGCCAACCAAGCCGCCATGCTGTATGTCATCCTCTACTTCGAGCCCTCCATCCTGCACAGCCAGCAGGCCAAGATGAGAGAGATCGTGGATAAGTACTTTCCAGATAATTGGGCAAGTATCACCCGTTGGTCTTTATTCACCGGAATCCTTTTACCCAGAGGTTGTGATGTCATCAATAACGGGGCAGTTTGTGTCGAGGATCTTACAGTCCGTACGATTTTCTCAAGAACCCATTCGTCTCTTCTTTTTTTTTTTTTAACGGTTTCATTGACGTATAATCCATGCCCCATGCAGTTCAATGGTTTGGCTATATTGAAAACCAGGAGTCTCTTTCTAAAGAGGATGTTCACAAGGTAAAGCCACATACCGGATGCACCTTGTTTACCTGCTGAGGTTGCTGTGTACATTGCATAATATGACTTCATCTTTTGCTTCTGGATTCTTCTGTTTTAGCCCTCCAAGCTAGCAGAACCCCTCGAATTTATCCTTGTGTTTCGGGATTTCACTTTTATCATAACTTTAATCCAAAAGGCAGCAGTAGAGTTGCAGTTTGAACCCACCAGCTGCTCCTCTGGAGAATGATGTCAGAGTGTGCTCTGTAAAGATTTACACTCGTGGATCTCCTTAGAGGCAGTTCTGCTCGGTCCTCTGTGGTCCCTGTGAGTGCCAGTCAACTCAGCAGCACTGGATCTGGTTTGGGTTAGCCGTTTGTTATGGCCACAGCCGGTTGGGGTGTGCTTGTAACTGTTAGTGTTTTATTTTAGCTAAAAATATTCTTTGTCACAGGAATAAATAGGACAGCATATTTACTATATATGAAGTGCTTTCTTTACAGCACACTTAATACATATGAAATGCTTTCTTTGCACGTGGAGGGTTTGACCAAGTGTCATGAATAAGAAACAATAGTTTTTGAAGGGCACACGTGTTCTCAGCAGATTTTGTCCCACTTTTTCCCAATGATTGAATCATGCCCCTTATCGGTGATACGGGGCCTGAGAGAGAGTCTTCACTGGCTCAGAGAGAGGAGGACTCTTGTCCACAAATGGATCATACGTTTTTGTCCAACTTCTTTGTTATATTTACATGTCTGAATATAATGAAGAAGGTTTTTTCCCTTAGTTAATACTGTCATCAGAAACATTTTTGCATTAGTGAAGTTCAAAGTCCAGTCTGTAGGGTTAAAGGAACCAGACTTGCTGCTAGTGAGTGGAGGCAACCTGAAGACAGGGAGAACTGCTCCTGTGACTTTCTGAGACTGTGACTCTGTTTTTTTTTTAAATCATTTTATTGGGGGCTCAGACAACTCGTATCACAATCCATACATGCACCCATTGCATCCAGCACATTTGTGCATTTGTTGCCGTGATCATCCTCAAAACATTGTCTTTCTACTAGAGGCCTTGGTATCAGCTCCTCATTCTTTCCCCTCCCTCTCCCACCCTCCTTCCCTCACGAACTCTTGATAATTTATAAATTTTTTTTTCTTGCCTTACACTGTCTAATGTCGCCCTTCACCCACTTTTCTGTTTTCTGTACCCCCTGGGAGGGGGTTATATGTAGATCATTGTGATCGGTTCCCCCTTTCTCTCCCACCTTCCCCTGACCCTCCTGGTATCGCTACTCTTATTATTGGTCGTAAGGGGTTTATCTGTCCTGGATTCCCTGTGTTTCCAGCTCTTATAGGTACAAGTGTACATGCTCTGGTCTAGCTGGATTTGTAAGGTAGAACTGGGATCATGATAGTGGCGGGGAGGAAACATTTAAGAGCTAGAGGAAAGTTGTATGTTTCATCATTACTACACTGCATCCTGACTGGCTCATCTCCTCCCTGCAACCCTTCTGTCCTGTTGCCTACAGATGGGCTTTGGGTCCCCACTCCACACTCCCCCTCATTCACAACGATATGATTTTTTACTGATTCTATCGACACCTCATGATCACACAGGCTGGCTTGCTTCTTCCATGTGAGCTTTGTTGCTTCTCAGCTAGATAGCCGCTTGTTATCGAGACTGACTCTCTATGGGAGTAGAAAGCCCCATCGTCCTCCCTCAGAGCAGCTTGTGGGTTTGAACTGTTGACCTGTGCTTTGCATAAACACTGCACCACCAGGGATCCGGTTTGTGTGATACACACCTGTAACAGAACATCCAGACAGCCTGTAAAGAAAGGAAAAGCTATCTGGGGTCATTTCCCCACAAACTCTTTTGTTTCAAAGTGCTGATGAGGAAGAATGCTCACCAATACAGGGGACGTCCACCATTTCTTAGCATTAAAAAGATCATGGAATTTATTCACAAATGACTTGAATGCCCCTCATCAGTTTGGACACTTCTCTGTGTTCTTTGGAATGGAGTAGATCGGATATTTAACTTGAAGGAATAAGCTCTGCCTTCTGCCATTTTGTGGCCTCCCGGGTCCTTGCCTACAAGTGAGCTGGCATTCTCACAAATACGGAACCAATGTCTCGTTTACTCTTTCAGGTAATTACCATTTACATGGGAATCACAGTAAATCTAGCAGATGCTTGGGAACCGTACAAAGCTGCCAAGACCGCCCTAAACAACACCCTGGACCTTTCCAATGTCAGGGAGCAGGTAGGTGCTGGCAGAGCATGGTCCCATAACAGCCGTTCTCACACAGGTGCCAGGACACAAGCTAAACAGATGTCCCACGGAATGTGGAAGGCATCCTCATAGATGGTCTATGCAGTGCTTAGTGAAAGCGGGAATTTTCTAGACAACTACAGAGTTCTAAATTGTGTGGGGCATGTAAAGTGTCCGGAGGAAGACTGGCCGCCCTACGATGGATCAGGCCACCTAGGGGCCAGCAGCCCTCGTGTGCTGTGCTTGAAGGCCGTATCCTATGGACAAAGCTGATTGCAGGAACATTTGAAATGAGTGTGTTTTTTAATCAGTACGCTGCATGTTGAAGGTGGTAACAGTGCGCACAATACGTCCCCTTGCTGCAATTTAAACCCATCCTCTCCGATACTCAGCAAGACTCAGATCACTCATCTCCACCGGATTTAAAAGGCTAGAGCCTGACTCCTTGCCAAGAACACAAAGCAGAAGGGAGCCGGTTGGTCTGCAGTCGAGAAGTACTCGTAGTGAGTTGAGGAGAAAACACAGTCTTTCATTGTGGAGCGTGTCAGAGATCGCTGAGCCAGGGCGACCCTCCTGCTCACTGGCTGGGTGTTTGAGATCCCGCTGTGCCTAGGACAGTGTTGTGCCCAAACTCTTCCACTTGTTTTAGTCCAATCAGTTGAATTCCATAAATAATGCATGAAATACTTTCCGGATTGGCACGTCTCCTGGAAATGTATTAGAGAAAGTGACCAGACTTCTATACCTACTGGTTTTGATGCAGGAATTTTTCGCTGCTCAAAAGCCTTTCCATGTGGATGTTTTCTCATTGGTGACTTTGTAAGAGGTTTGGTCTGAATCATCTGAAGAGATACCTTGGGAGGGTTTTAAACAAACCTGGTTAGCATTTCAAGTTTACTGTAGCTCTTGCTTTTCAGAATGAATAGAGTCTCAAAAGGCTGATTTGAAAAGTCAGTTTTGAGATACCGACGTGTAGTTCGTAGTTGCGCTTGATGTGTGTGTAAGGAAGTCTCACCCTCTGATTTTCGCTCTGCTCTGCCTGCTACAGTCCGTAACAAAGGAAGCGTGGATGATTGAGCATCTGTCTTTTTGTTTCCTATCCTCCAAGTTGCCAATACAAGGGATTTATGGCGTCACCGAGACCAGTTCTGCGTGTGACATTTAAAGAAAACAGTATGCAGTAGCTAAGGTCAAAGCTCCACCAGTTTTTACTCAGAGCCAGAACTAGGATGTAGTCTCTGAATTCTAAGTCCGGGGGC